TTTGTGTAACTCGTTGTCTATGAGTACACATTGGGAAGCTAAGAGTCTTAATGCTCGTTTTGCTCTTTTGTCAGCATGAGGAGGATATTCTCCTTTGGTGACATAGTTGAGTATGTCCGTATACCATGGTTCTTCTTCTTCTTCTTCTTCTTCTTCTTCTTCTTCTTCTTCTTCTTCTTCTTCTTCTTCTTCTTCTTCTTCTTCTTCTTCTTCTTCTTCTTCTTCATTGTCTTCTATTTCTTGAATGTAAGCCGGTTTATGCCTTTTCTCTATGGTTAAAGGCATATTTTCTCGATTTTCGTAGGAATCCTAACCATTGAGGCTATTTTTTCCAAGGAATCAGCAAATTGGTTTTCCTCTCTAGGTAGATATGTGTATTATACCTTTTCCAACTGGTTGGTGAGAGTTTCCAGATAAGTTTGGTAAGGGGCTAAACTTTCACTCCTTACTTTCCATCTTTTGGAGATTTGGTTGATGATCAAAGAAGAATCTCCGAATATTCAAAGTTTATTTACTCCCAATACCAAAGCTGATTCAAGGCCTACCACGCATGCTTCGTATTCTGCAGCATTGTTGGTAACGTCGAAATCTAACTTTATGGAGAATTGAACATGTTCTTCTTTAGGTGATACTAATAGTGCTCCAACGCCACATCCCTTTTGGTTTGAGCTAAGGCTCCGTCGAAATATAAAGTCCAAGTATCATCTTCTGTGACCATCAAGTCTTCATCTGGAAATTCATTGTCATGTATTGGCGTTGAATCTTCTATTGGAAAATCCGCTAAGAAGTCTGAGACCATGGATCCTTTAAAAGCCTTTTGAGGCATGAACCTTACATCAAATTCGGCTAGGTTGACTATCCATCTTGATATGCGCCCATTAAGTGTATATTTTTCAAATAATTACTTGAGTGGATCCATTTGAGATACTACAAAGACTATATGCACGAGCATGTAATGTCTCAACTTGGTCGTGGCCCACACTAATGCGAGGCACAATTTCACAAGTGGTGTGTAGCGTACTTCATACTCGAGCATTTTCTTGCTTAGGTAGTAGATTGCGTTTTCTTTTCCTTCTACTTCTTGTGCGAGCATAGCCCCCATTGTGTCTTAGGTGACTATCAAGTACAGCCTAAGAGTAATCCCTAGAAGCACTGGTGCTAATACGGGAGGATTTGCGAGATAAGATTTGATCTTTTTAAAGGCTTTTTGACATTCATCGTCCCATATTACTGGCACATTCTTTTTGAGTTTCTTGAATATTGGTTAACATATTGTTGTTAGCTTTGATATGAACCTACTTAAGTATTGCAACCAGCCAATATATCCTTGAATTTGTTTCTCAGTTTTGGGTGGTGGCATTGACATAATTGCTTTGATCTTGGTTGGGTCTATCTCTACTCCTGATGAGTGTCATTTAGGGCACTCATTTGGCTTATTTTAGGATGAATTTCATGCTATTTTACAGCTCTTTTCTTTAGTTTCCCTTAGTTTTGTTCTTTATTTCTTTAGTTTGTGCTTTCCTTAGTTAGTTTTCTTTCTTTGTGCATTTCTTTGTTTATTTGGTATTTTTCCCTTTTATTTGCTTTTTTTGTGTATTTTTAGGTTATGATCGTGTTTGAGGATTCCAGAGCCTTCCTCTCATATTTCTCATCATTTTCGACGCCTCTTGCTTGTCATTTGGAGCTCAAGTTTGAAGGAATGCAAGGAGCTAGTTCATGAGATCGGTGCATGCATGCGGTGGGGGCATCATCTTTGGCATGAACCCACCAAAATGGTCATTTCAAGACTGCCTACCTTAGTGTTCATCATCATCACCAAGACGAGCGCACGAGGATGAGCTAAGACGAAGAAGAGGGGGGCTCCCCTGCTGCCAGGTGCGGCCGCGCACAAGGGTGGTGCGGGCGCGCCTGCCAGGGCCCCTGTTCCATACCCTTTTTCCAGCGGCCGCGCCTCTCCCTTGATGCGACCGCGCCTTCCGGGGTTTCTTTTGGGACGATCTAACTAACTCTTCTTTTGTATCTTTCCTATATATATTTTTTCCTTCTATTTTTAGAAGAGGTGAATTAGAAGAGAATTAGAATTAGTTTTAGATCAAATTAGAGAGATTTTTAGAGAGAGAAACTCTAGATTTTTAGAGAGAGAATTTCATGGTGGATTGTTAATGATTGAAGATTTCTCCATTTCCTTTGGTTTTTGATCAAGTTTGTAAGGAATCCTTTTATTTAATGCAATCTTTAGTTTGATCTTTAGTTTGATTTCAATTATTTGTTGAATGTTCAAGTTTGATTGAAGTTTGATTGATTTGAGTTTGATTTTAGCTTGTTTGATTTGATCATGATGAATTTGTTGCTTAGTGTTGTCTTGATCTTGATTTCAATGGCTAGTGATTAGATTGCTTGCTAGGGTAATGGTGAAGCATGTATGAGTAATGGATTAAAGCTAATTGGGGAAAATTGATGGAGTTGACTATGTGATTAAATTGGTTGATGATTATGTGCATGTGTGTGATTAATTAAAGAGTAACTAACTTTGATTGTTGCACTAGATTGCATTATAAGTTCACATTGATACGGACCATTGATTTCTGGCTTGCATTTAACGATTGAGGTGTCTTGTGACGTTCCTAGCTAGAGTTTATCGTAGTTGACGCTAGTTAGACCTCTAGGAAAATAGCTTGATATGCTCTTTTGGTTGCATGATTGGTCTTCCCTCACATTGCTTTACTTAGTCACTTTGACCTCCCAATTAGTTGAATCCGTTACGATTGCATGTGGATCCTAGCCCTAGCGTTTTACATACTTGATTTCAATTCGTTGTTTAGTCATCCTTGTCCTAGTTTACATAGCTACACCCTATCATTTCGGAGTAGCTTGACTTAGGAAATAGATAATCGCCCACCGTTCCTTAGTGGTTCGACCCTCAACTTACCATTATACTTGTGTAAGGGTGTGTTGAGAGATTACAAATTTTGTTTGGCCTTGGGTAGGGGTTAGTTTCAATGACCTAGTCTCGACCCGCGTCAAAATGGCGCCGTTGCCGGGGAATGGTTTTGTGATTGAGTATTGTTGTTGAGTCTATTCCATCTTATTCAAAAATATAAAAAGATTTTTCTTCTTTCTTTTAGGATACACTTGTAGCCGCGTTACTAACAATTTCTTTTTGAGTTTTTTCATGCATAGTAGAACTCGTGATAGGTCCTTAGTTCCTTTGGATCCGGAAATTGAAATAACTCTTTCACGAAGAAGGATAGCCAACCGATCTTTGAGCCTAAGTTCCTCAAGTGAAGAAGAGTTTGAGGAAGAAGAAGAGCAAGCCATGGGAGAGAATCCAAGAGTAGCTTTGAAGGAGTTGGGAATTCCCGATGCTTATAGGTTTGAGAGCGGCATTGCTCCACCTACAACACCGGCGAACGATTTTGAAATAAGACCGGCCATGATTACTTTGATAGAATGGAGGCAATTTAGTGGAGCCAAGAGTGAGAGCCTGTTGAATCACCTAAAGGAATTTCAGAAGTATTGTAATACTATCAAGGTGAACGGCATTTCTCAAGAGTTCATTCGGCTAAAGTTGTTTCCCTTTTCTCTTATTGGTCGTGCCTTAGAGTGGTTAGATAAAGAGGTTAAGCCCAATTCCCTTAGGACGTGGGATGAAGTCACAAAATCTTTCTTGTCTCACTTTTACCCACAAAAGAAGACGGCAGAGGCTAGAGCCTTGATCCAAGGATTCAAACAAAGGCCTAATGAGAATCTCTATGAAGCATGGAAGAGGTACAAGGAGTACCAAAGAGAGTTCCCACATCATGGAATTCCTACCTATCAAGTGATACAAATTTTCTATGGAGGCTTGAGTGCACAAGGCAAGTCATGCCTAGATGGAGGAGCCGGAGGTCCTATAATGAATAAGACGGAAGAAGAGGGAGTTGACATAATTGAGGATGTGGTGAGATACTATAGAGATTGGCAAGAAGGAGAGAGGGAGTCTACGAGCAAGAGTGGCTCGACGGTGTATTCGGTGGATCATCTCAATGCAATAAACAACTTGTCCTCCCAAATTTCAAATCTAGGGAAGGAAGTGACATCGATCAAAGCAAATCTTGAGAGTTTTTCTACGAATTCATTGAGTCTTCCCTCCCAATCCAAAGGGAGAGGTACACTTTCTAACTCTTCTCCTTCTACTTCCAATAACATGCCAAGTGGTTGCCTATTTTGTGATTCTTGTGGATCTTATGATAATGATTCTTCCATTTGTTCTCAAACTTTTGTTGATGGATGTGATGATGTTAAAATTAATGAATGTGAACATGTGAACTTTGTGTCTAATGCCAATGGTGGTCAAAGGTTTGATGGACCTAAGAATTTTGGTAATAGGAATTCTCACCCCCAAGGTGGTTTCGATAACTACAACAATAGAGGCTATAGGAACCAAGGAAACCAAGGTTTTCAAGGTAACTATAACAACCAAGGCTATAGTAATCAAAACCCAAGCCATGGGTATGGTAACCAAAGTCAATCTCAAGGCTTTGGTAACCATTACCATAATGGTGGCAATAGTCAAGGTCGTGGCAATTGGAACAACAACCAAAATCGGGGAAGTTTTCAAAATAACAACCAAAGGGGACCCCCACCCGGTTGTGCTCCAAAGCCTCAAGGCAATGGTGAAAATTCTTATTCCCAACCATCATCATTTAAGACAAATTTGGAAGAGATGATTTATAACCAAACCAAGATCATCAACACATATATGGCGGTGAGTGACAAGAAATTTAATGAGATGATGACTCATAAAAAAATGCTTGAGACACAAATAACCCAACTAGCCAACACTCTAAAGGATTGTGCTAGTCCATCCTCTTTTCCTTCTCAAAGAGTGGAACCTAAGAAACCCGTGTATTCTATCACCACTAGGAGTGGGAGAGTTCTTAATGAGGGAGTTTCAAGGTCCATTGAGGAGGATGAGGAGAGGAGTGACCCAAAGAGAGGAAGTTGAGAAGGTTGTGTACATGTCTAAGAGTGTGAGTTATGAGGAGGTGCAAGAGAAAAAGAGTAGTAGTGAGAAAGAGCGTGAGGAAGTGTGGAGACCCGACTACCCACAAAAATTCTTGAGGCACAAAATTGATGAGCAATTTGGAAAGTTTATTGCTATGCTCAAGGAAGTTCACCTTTCTATCCCCTTCACCGATGCAATTACCCAAATGCCTAGGTACTCTAAGTTCCTTAAGGAGATTTTGAGTGGGAAGAGAATGTGTAATAAAGTTGATTCGGTTGAAGTTGGGAGTTGTTGTAGTGCTTTCATTCATAATGAGTTGCCTAAGAAGATGGAGGATTGGGTAATTTCTCTATATCATGTGAGATTAAAGGGAAAATGTTTGATAATGCTTTTTGTGATCTTGGAGCTAGTGTGAGCGTCATGCCTTATTCCATTTTCAAGAAACTCAAGCTAGGTGAGCTCCTCCCATCTAACATAACCCTTCAATTGGCCGAACGGACTATTATGATTCCAAAGGGGAGAGTTGAGGATGTTCCTCATAAGATAGGAGGGTTCACTATTGCCGTTGATTTCATTGTGCTTGAGATTGCGGAAGATGACCATATCCCTATCATTTTAGGAAGACCTTTCTTAGACACTTCAGGAGCCTTAATAGATGTGAAAAGAGGTCGTATTACCTTGAGAGTTGGTAAGAAAGAGGAAAGATTTGAGTTGAAACCAATGCATGAGTCTTTGTCTCTTGTGAAAGGAATTATGTGTGCTAATTCCCCTCGCTCTATTGATACCTAGTGAGAGGAGAGCTAGAGAAACCAATATAGATATGGCGGGGCCAACAATAAATAATTTGGAGCAAAATAAACAATGACAAATTGAGTGAGGAGTGGGGGAAGTGTACACATAAACAGAGTATTAATATTGCTCATGGGCGAAAGAACCGAAGTCGTAGCTGGGGATCTCACGTTTCATTACTCATCATATTTGAGTTGATTGTAAGCGTCCAATTATTAGATATGGATGGTTTAGATTGTTTCTCATCCTTCCTATTTTAAGGTCCTTCTCATATATATATATATATATATATATATATATACTGTCAACAATGAAATCAATATTTCTAGTAGGAAATCGTGAAGATCTGATCTTTTGTATAAAAGATTGCTATAGAATTACAATACAAACTATTTTGTTAACAATGAAATCAATACATTTGATAGGAAATCATGAAAATCTTACTATGTATGGAAACTTGTTTTTAAATAATTGATTGATCATATTCAAGTTAAAAGTTTACTAAAAATCATTTCAGTTAAATATGTAATTATAAATATAGAGATTTATTCCATACATAAGGCATGCGAATGAGAATACAATACTATTTTTTTTTTGTCGACAAACACAATACTATTATTTAAAAAAAATTATGTGTTCTCTCTCTTCAAACCCTAAAATTTTCTCTGTTTTCTCTCTTGAAACCTAGCCAACACAGTAAAACTTAGGGGCTTCCATTGATTTTTATTGATGGTAAGCCCTAAATTATTCTTTAATTTATTGTTTTTAGCCATATCGATAGTAAGCCCCAAATTCTTCTTTAATTTAATGTTTTTAGCCAATAAAGATCACTAACAGGTGATTATAGTCAGTCCCTCCACATGTAGGGTTTAGTTAGTTCCCTAATGGTGAGATGTTTACTATTGTTTGTTTGTTTTTCGTGTGTGTAGGGATACAAATTTGAAAGATTTTTCTGTCAAATTTGTGGAAATGTGGGTCTATTGGTGTAGGGATGTAGATTTAGAAGATTCGTCTTGCAAATTTTCAGATTTTGATGACCAATCAAGTTTTTCACTTTTACGACTATCCATCAATAGAGCCCCGTTAAGAACGATGTAAAGACATATAATTAAAATTATTCAGGAGCTGTTCAGAAGTGGTGCCATTAGTTTAGGGGTGTTTAATTCTTGTACTAAGAGTTTAGATCTCTTAGGGTGATTGTAAGTACTAAAGGACTATTATTATTTAATGAAATCACCCTTCCATATTCTATTTTTTTCTTAAAAAAAAAACAAAAATAAGACAAGCGAATGAGACAGTGACATTTGTCATTATTTTTTTGGTGATTAGAGGGCCAAGAGGGCAGGTGATGAGAATCGATCCCAATAATCGAGAGGGAAGCTCTAACCACTTGAGATATCCCTCACGCTTTGAGTGACATTTTTCATCCTTACATTGATTTTGTTTGTCTTGTAGTATAACATATAGATAGTAATTAAGATAGATATGAGAGAGAGAGAGGACATCATCGAATCAACCAACAAAAGCATTCCATTTCCTTTAAGCTCTCTTGCTTTATCGCTTACTTAATTTTCCCTTGGCTTAATTAGTAGTCAAGTGATAGTTTAGTTTACTTAGCATGTATTGAAAATCGTTAGTTTGTTAAAATTTTATGGAAATGAAGGTAATCTTTCCTTCTCCTTGTACAATTATAGCCCTTACTTTATCTTTTAATTAATGGAAAGCGTATGCATCTTTTGTCATTTATTTTCTATTCATTTATTTAGTGATCCAACTTTTTAAAAACTTTTTCAAGGATGACTTCTTTACTTTTTTCTGTGTTATGTTAGTGAGGTTATCACTTTGAAACCAGTAACAATAGTGTAACACCCTAGAAATTCATTCCTTTTAAAAATACCTATTTTGCCCTGTTTAAAACTTTAAATTGGAATATCTAAGACATTACCACCACCGTGAAAACGGCTAAGGCAACTATCAAAGACACACATTGGAAGACTACTTTAAAAACCATTCAAAACAAGTCAACTTGAAAAGTTAATCAACGAAACTAAAGTCAAACCAAAGTCAAACGAAGTAAAATAAAATCAACCTACAACTTGAAACCATTGTAGGCCTTTATTAAAACCAAACCAAATTCAAACCCTCTTCCTTAGTCATGCATAATAATAATGTCATAAATAATTAAAGCAGTAAACACATCATATACTTATAGAAACTAGCAAGATTCGCTCTTCACTCATGTCAATTCATGAATATGCTTCATCACTTGAAAAGCTTCTCTCTACTTGTTTCCACTACTCTCCATTAAAAATGGGTCATCATAGGGCCAAGATAAAGACAAGGCCAACAACACACAAAACACACAATCAGCAAAGCTAAGTACATAAGCGTAATTAACATACTAGCATACAATTTCCTATCAACACACAACTTACCTCGTTGCACCTGTTTTTCAAGCATACAACATTCAATAAAAGTTCTCACTAGACACTACATAACTTATTTAATGTTGACTACGCATCGAACGGGTTTCCCCACTAACCTCCCCCAAATAAATTGAGGTTACTAACACGGGAGCTAACCGTGCCAGCATCAATAACCACTCGTAAGTGGCGGAATTCCTGTGCGTAATAATAATAAAAGGAATGTACAACGTCCTATACTCCAGTAGAAGTTATGATCAAATATAAAGTCACATAACTCCCCCCATATGTTCATACTCAAGGTGTATACGTTCCAAGAGTTTTGGTGCGTAATCTCTTTCATTTTACGTTATTTACATATTATTAAACTTGGTGATGACTCTCAAAACATAACACAATCAATCATTAATAATTATTCAATCAATCAAACATACCAATTAATTCTTGAATAATTAGTGACCACATACTATTTAATGTTGAACCCTTTTTAATTCTACCTCGGTGCCAATGATACCTTAAACGCATAAAGCGCCACAAATCCTATCCCTCGGTGTTAAAAATACCTTAAGTGCACAAGGACACCAACATACAATTTATTCCTCGTGTACTTAGACATTCATATAGCTCCTTTCTCATGCTTATCACATCAATAAAAATTATATGAACCATAATAAAATTACTTTCCAATATTCCAAACCAAATTAAACATTTAGTTTCATTAAACATGCTCTCTAACATGCCACAAATATATATGTGGTTCATAAACAATACTCCAAACTATAATTTTCCAACAAATAATCCATCACAAATACATCATGCTTCCTATTTCAATCACCAATAACAACCAATTCATAAATTCCATTCCAAATCTAGCATGATACTACTTGTAATCAATTAAACACATTTAGCATGCTACTATATCAATAAAATTATGCTAAGAACGTACCTTGTATACGATCTTAAAATCGCCACGACTAATAGAAATCACTCACTTCGAAGTTTCCTACAATTTAAAATCATAGAAGAGTATTAAAATCCTTTCTACACAAATTTCCAGCAATATATACTATTATAAAACCCCTCATAATTTAATTAAAATAAGCTGAAATTATATTTAAAACATCATACTTTTATCCCAATTAATGGGTAATTGAAATTCCTTAAAGAAACTTGATTTTTAATGCACCGCCAAAAATTCCAGCATTATATTTTAATGAAAACTTGTTGTAATTAAGCCTTAAAACACTTTAATTAAAGTTTTAAACCATTATACATCATAACCCTTCAATAATTCATAATTCAAGAACCTATGGTTTTTAAAATTAAGGCTTTTAATTAAATATATAGTCTGAAAATTAATTAACATAATATTCATAATCAAACATCAAAAATCAAATCACAAAACTCATAATTAATAATTAGATCTAGGATTAAATTGATTTTTAAAACAAAGTTTTAATTTTTTTGTTCGAAAAGATGCGGCAGCCGACAGCCACCACGGCTGCTGCCAGCGCCGGTGGCTGCCTGCTGCCGGCGGCCACGACTACCGTTGGTGATCAGCGGTGAGGGGGAGCCGAAAAAGGGGAAGGGGGAAAAAGAGAAAGAAAAAGAAAAGAAAAATAAAGAGAAAGGGGAGAGAAGTTTGCCTTGGGTTTTCTCCACTCTGGGCAAAATTTGATTAGCTTCAATTGTTGAATATTTATTTCCCTTCTCTAGAAACCCTTCTACCTAAACTTTCCTCTTTTAATTTTCCTAATCCCTTCCCTAATAAAACTTTACTAAAATAACACTTTCCTTAAATTAAACCCCAACTTAAATAAAATAATTAATTAAATAAAATTTCCTTTTATAAATATTCCCTAACTTAATTAAAATAAATAATTAAAATACTTTAAATAAAACAATTCAATTTAATTAAATGCTTCTCAAAATACTTATTTTAATTAAATACGTATAAAAATACGAGGTATTACAAATAAGGGCAACCCTTTAATACTCTTGATCAAGGTAAGGTATTTGACTTGTTGATAAAGAATAAGATTTACCTCAACAAGACATATAAATGTGTTCATAATGTCAATTCCTTTTCAACAACTACTGTTTTATACAGTGTAGACACCTAAAAATGTCTCCCAAAACCAAACCCGTTGATGAACACCTTTCACCGCCATTATTGGTCAGGTTGAGTATTTATTATTTGGAGTGCTTAAATCCATTTTCTATCCAATATATTTCATGAACCAATCCAATTTCTAGCTCATTTCCCTAAACCATAACCTATTTTCCACTTTTCGTGTCCACATCGCAAAACCGAGAGAACTGATTTTATGTCTATACAATTTTGATCCAATTATTATTTTTTTGGATAGGCCTATAAATAATCTTTCCAACCATATATCATAAGCCCAATTCCGAGCTATAACGGAAAAGATATGAACAAAACACTAAACTCGGCCTAAAACCGACACCCTTCCACTAAAACGAAAATATCTTAAAATTTAAAAATCATTTTGACCTTATTTTAATTGTTTTGGAAATTAGACTTGATAAGCTTTCCAATGATATATTATATTCTTT